ATGTCCCTAACAGCAGACTTTCCCATCGCAATACGTCTTTTAATTTCCTGGCTACTGGTGCTAAGAGTGTTGACTGTGGAGCCACACAAACTAAAGCTGTGAATAATCTCAATCTCTTCACCATGCATCCTGATGCTGCCAATTGGTTCAGGGGTGAGAATCTTTGTCTTCTTGACATTGAGCCTCAGTCCATATTGGAGGCTACATTCCTTGACCCTCTGCAGCAAGCGCTTTAGGTCCTCCTCAGCTTCAGCAAGCAGGGTTGTGTCATCTGCTTATCGCAGATCGTTGATAGATCTTCCACCAATCTTGACCCCACATTTCTCCTCATAGAGTCCAGCCTCCCAGATAATCTGTTCTGCATACAACTTGAAAAGGTATGGAGAAAGGACACATCCCTGGCATACGCCCTTCCCAATTTTGAACCATGCGGTGTTTCCTTTCTCTGCTCTGACGACTGCCTCTTGGTCCAAGTATAGGTTTCTCATTAGCACGATCAAGTGTTCTAGGATTACCATTCTTCTCAGAGTCAGCCACGATTTATTATGATCCACGCAATCAAACGCCTTTGCATAATCAATGAAACACAGATACACATTCCTCTGGTATTTCTTGCTTTCAGCTAAGATCCATCTAACATTAGCCACAATATCCCTAGTAACACGACCCCTTCTAAACCCAGCCTGGATTTCTGGCATTTCTCTGCTGATGTACTGTTCCAATAGTTTTTGGATAATCTTCAGTAGAATCTTGCTTGCATGTGAAATCAATGATATTGTTCTATAGTTTCCACACTCTGTTGGGTCACCCTTCTTTGGGATGGGAACAAGTATAGATCTCTTCCAGTCAGTTGGCCAAGTGGTTTTTCTCCAGATTTCTTGGCACAATTTCTGGTGAGCACATCCAGGGAAGCATCTGTTAGCTGAAATATGTCAATTGGTATACCATCTATTCCTGGAGCCGTATTTTTTGGCATTTCCCTCAAAGCCACCTGAACTTCTTCCTTCATCACCATAGTCTCTTGCTCATATGTTGTTTCATGAAATTCTTCTGTGTCTGCCAATTCCTTTTAGTACAGTGACTCAGTATGTTCTTTCCATCTTCTTTTAATTCTTTCTGCATCATTTAAGATTCTACCCTTGATTATAACAACTCGAGGTTTGAATTTGTTCTTCAGTTCCCTGAGCCTAAGAAATGCTGAGCGAGTTCGGCCCTTTTGATTTTCTGACTCCAACTCCTTACACATTTCATTGTAATATTTTACTTTGTCATCCCGTGCTGCCTTTTGAAATCTTCTATTCAACTCTTAATTATCTTGAATTCTTCCTTCTGTTTTGGCTTCTCTGCACTCGAGTGCAATTTTCAGAGTCTCTTTTGACATCCATTTTGGTCTTCTCTTCCTCTTCTGTCATTGCAATGACTGCACTCTTCCTGGATGATACCCTTGATATCCTCCCACAAGTCATCTGACTTTGATCATTAGTGTTGAAGGCCTCAAACCTGTTCCTAAGATGGTTCTGAAATTCAGGTGTGATAGACTCAAAGTCATATTTTGGTTCCCCTGGGCTTGGTTTAATTTTCTTCAGCTTAGGCTTGATCTTGCATATGAGTAGTTGGTGGTCTGTTCCACAGTCAGCTCCTGGCCTAGTTTTCACAGCTGATATTGAGCTTCTCCAGCGGTTCTTTCCACAGATGTAATCAATCTGATTTCTATGCATAGCATCAGGTGAAATCCATGTATATAATCTGTGTTTTTGTGTCTCTTAAAAATATATTTGCAATGAATAAGTCATTGTGCAAAATTCAATCATTCTATCTCCAGCTTCATTTCTGTCACCGAGCCCATGTTTTCCAACTACTGAATCTTTTTCTCTGTTCCCAACTTTTGCATTCCAGTCACCCATTATTATCAATGCATCTTGATTGCATGTTTGATCTATCTGACTGTAAAAGTTGGTAAAAATCTTCTATTTCCTCCTCTTTGGCTCTGGTTGTTGGTGCATATATCTGAATGATAGTGGTATTCACTGGACTTCTTTTTATGCGTATGGATATTATCCTGTCACTCACAATATTGCACTTCAAGATGGATCTAGAAATGACTTTCTTAACTATGAAAGCAACTCCATTTTTCCCTCACCTTTTCATGTCCAGAGTAATATATCATATGATCATCTGACTCAAAATGCCCCAACCAGTCCATCTCATCTCACCAATTTCTAGTATGTCAGTATTTATGTGTTCCATTTCTTCTTTAGTAATATCTAATTTTCCTACATTCATGGTTCTCACATTCCATGTCCTAATCACCAGTGTCCGCTTACAACTGTTCCTCTTCCTTTGTATTTCCATACTTGAAAACTGCACCTCAGTTGCCCTGTTATTCTATATGTGTTCTTTTGTACATAGTGTTTTCAGAGGCCTGCTATTTCAGAAGTGGATGGTCAATCCTTCTTCCTAGTCTATCTTAATCTGAATGTTAAGATTTAGAGAAATATAAGACAGCCCAGCATTTTACAGAAAAAGTAAAAGATATATCCCTTATTGTGGAGTTAACTATTAGTATCAGTGTTGTCCCTGCCTTTGGCACATGTGTCTTTAGCCACTTATTTCCCTGCTCCACCATCTACCAGGATACCCATCCACTTCTACCCAATCCTATCAACATCTATCTTCCATTGTCCAGCCCTTGATCTGATACCTTATATCTGAATATCTTATATTAATTATGTAATGTCTTTTTCCCCCAATCCACTGCACTTTCTTTTCACTTTATAATGTCTCAACATAGAATGAAGTGTTTTATCTCTGCATAAGTAAATAAATTATTTTAGGAGAATTTTATTTTTAGTTTTTACTATCTTCAGATTTTAATATTATCTGTTCTACAATTAGTTGTTGTGGTTGAACAATTAGGATTTAAAAAAGGGAAAGAAATGGTTATGCATGTTCTTTTCATAAGATAATTTGTGTGCTGCCTTTATTTTACAAGGCATCAAGAACCACAGGTGATTAAGGGCCTAGTGTTAGCTTTCATTTCTATAAAATCTTTTATTCTCTTTTTGGATGCAGAAATCAACTTTGCTTCCATCCAAAGCTTTAATTCCCTTTTCTGTTAGTTTGTAGCTTAGCGACTTCAAACATAAACAAAATCAATCAAATAAAAAGTGGGATTTTTTTTAAGCTAGGGTGTGTTCCTGTTAGAGACTTTTAATACTAAATTTGTTTTCAAGTGTTTATATACTACCAAATCGCCTTGCTACCTTGAAGTAGGACTGTCCTTGAATCCTGTTCTGCATGAAATAATAAAATTTAATCCCATCTCCACATGTATTTTTTTAAAAAAATAATTTATGGGAATATTAAGTATTGTATTGTTATTTGACAGGATAATGCTTTGTTGCTGGCAAAGGCAGTAGCATAGCCTTCAGACCAATTCTTTCTCTTACTCCCAAGGAGTTCTTCCATTATCCACCCACAGGATAAGGAGATTTTGTTGTTGTTGTTTCTGAAAGCTCAAACAGCAAGCCAAAGAGAAAGTTTAAACAAGTATCATCAATCTTTTAAAATACCTTTGCATATGTAAATTAACTCTGATCCATAGATGCTAGGGAGCCCCCACATCCTTGGATTCCTGGAATATTTAATCATGTGTTATTTCTATTGGGTGTAAATTGTGTTTCTTGTAAGAAATTCCTTACCATGAAGACCACTCATTTGCTTTGAGATTGGCTCATAGTTTTTACATTTTTTTTGGGTTTTCCCCCCTTTTTCTTACAGTAGCCTTAGTGTTCCAAAAGGGTAATTTAAAAGACCCTGTATTTTGGAGCTCGTCTATATAAACTTGATTTTTTTTCTTCTGTATAAACTTAATTTTTTATTTTTACTTGATTGTAAATGGATTAGTTTGGAATTCCTCATTGATATTTATAATTACTGATTTAAAGAAAACTGTAAAAAATCTCTTTCCTTCAAATGTATTTTTTATATTGTGAAATAAATAGTACCTTCTGACTCCAATTTACAAACTTGATACATAGTCTGAAATATATTAAGAACAACTGTGAAGTCAAAGCCTGTGTATTTTTTAATTTTAGACTAGTTGAGTTGTCTTTGTAAAATGTTAATATGTTTCCCTAGTTCTGCTTGGCCTCTCATTCATATTAATATGAAGTTCATGATCATACCTTTTGTAGATAAAATCCAGCTAGGGGCCAGCTGTTGATGCCCCCTACTGTTTCTTATCCTGTTTTAAATTTTCAAACTTTAAGAAAGAGTATCTTTTGAGAAGTATGCCTGATGAACTGGAAAGTATTGTTTTGCAGATCACCTGCAAGATTTCTTAATGAGCTTTTACATTCCATATGCAGTACCATATTAATTGTAGATTTGAGGTTTAAGATAATTCTCAGAACTCAAGTGATTACTTTCCTGATGATCATAGTGAGTTCTTGGCAGGGGGTATCATATCCTTAGATCTGTAGCTATGTGGTGCATAGATAGAAACATGCCTTTGTTCTCAAAGTCTTTTTTCACTCTGATTACTGTTGTATCCAAGTGCTTTGTCTCTGCTTGTCTTCATTTCCACCCCCCTTTTCTCCCTTGTGCCTTTGTCTGCTATTTGTGTGAATAACTTTTTTTAATATGCAACAAAGGTATTAAATATATTTTAGGTAATACAAGGGAATGATAAAGGAAGTAAGGAAAAGAAATAGAGAGTGGGGTACATGTGAGAGAAAAGGGGGAAGAAGTAAGAAAAGAAAACAGGAGAGTGGATGTGAGAGAGAGGAAGGTAGAGCAAAAGGCATAAAGGGTTTGGGGGGCTTATAAAATTGTGGGGGTGTTTCTAGGGTAGCAAGATCAACAGACCAGCATTTTCCTCCGGCTTGGGCTCAAGCTGAGGGAAACTGGTAATATATTAAAAAAAAACTCAACCGGGATTTGCTGAGGACAAATGCTGTAATGTGTTAGTCATCCATTATCTGCTTCTATTTTTGCAGGTTCTGAATGATGACTGACGCGGGTTCTTGTGATAGCCCTCACAGCCCCTGTCATTCCGGAGTGATAAGGAGCTCGCATGCCTAGCCCCAACACCAGGGGGAGGGAAAACAAGCAGCAGCTCTGGAGGGAGGAAAGCTTCCGCTTGTGGACTGGACAAAAGTACCGCCTTCGCACTGGTGTCTGCCTGCAGCTCCTGATCTAGACACCTCGCCCTGTCTTGCTCGCGGCTCTCCTAGGCAGATGGTGTGTGGCCACCGCAGGACGCCCGCCGCGCCCGGGCCATGAAGTAGCGGCTGCTGGTGGCGCCGCTGCCCGACCGCCGGCCCAGCCCGCGCTGCGCTGCCCGCTGATCTCCCCGCGGGGCCGGAGCAGCGTGGACATGGCTGGCCGCGCTCTTTGCCGGCTGCTTCTCCTCCTGCTCTTTCAAAGCAGCTGTTTCAGCTACAGAAGCCCACTTTCTGTCTTTAAGAGGTGGGTATCTTTCTTTCCACAGAGGAAATGTTTGGGTGTTTTCTGTGCATGCTGTTGAGAAATGTAGTCACTTTTACGACCCTTATGTGTTAGAGACATACGCGAGGTTTATTTACTTTACTGAAACGACTTGGATGTCTTAGCACAGTAACTTCTTGTAAAGTCGTCTCTCCCCCCCCCCCCCATATGGGAGAAGCCTACTTGTATTGTAGCCAAGCTGTCCTGGCTCTCAAAACTCCAATTAGAAGTTCTGATTCCCCATACTAATCACTCCCTCTTAGGGAGATATTCCAGAAACTGCAGTACAGTCGTTTAGACTTGGATGCTTTCTTGTTTTTAACAGCTTGAAGGGTGAAATATCAAGACAGATCAGTGGTGGGAAAAACATCATGGGCAGTAATAGCTCACAAGAAAACAGTGAGCTGGATACACACTCCTCATAATTACCTTATTAAATATTTATACTCTTGTACATTTGTAATCACATAGCCGTTTTGGCCCCCCCCCCTCTTCTTTCCTTTCAAACAACTCTGCCTGGGAAGATTATTGCTGGATTTGTTTGGTTTCTCACTGGTAAAACTCACATTTATATAATAGTTACACTATTTTTTGCAGAGTTAAGGTTAGTATTTCTACCATTAGGAAATGGGTACACCTATAATAATTTCTATTTTATATACACTGTCTTCAGTCAGTAACACACATATATTTTTACAAGTTTTTGTTGAATTCAAGTTAAAATGTAATCTGCTAGGCTATCTTGATTATAATTTGTTTACCAACTGAGCCTATATTGGTTTTGCTGCAGTTCTGAGAATGTTTTAGACCACTATATGATCAATACATGGGTAGGGTTTTTATTGGGTATCAATACTATTTAATCTTAAAATCATGGAATTTCATTTTCCCCCTTCTTATATTAAAGGATATTGAAATTGTCTTTTTAAGGTTTAAAGAAACTACCAAATCATTTCCCAATGAATGTACCTCCAGACCAGTAATTCCAATTGACTCATCAGATTTTGCATTGGATATTCGAATGCCTGGAGTTACCCCAAAACAGGTGAGAGGTATTCTAGATTTTTTTTATTCATTTGTTCTATGTAGTGTTGTAATTTACTCAAGGGACTGCATCCATAGCAGTAGAAATTTCTTCAGAAAAGGGCATTTGCTTTTACTATTGCTCATGTAGGTCTAAAATAATTAAAATTAAATCAGTTACATTTTATTTTTGAAAATTTATTAATGTTGTGCTTTACAATTAAGCCTTAAGATTATTTTTTAAATATTATTAATGGAATGCTATCTTCTCTAATACAACATGTTAGTATGTATTGAAATATTTTTTAAAAAAACTTAATAAAAGGAAATGCTGTTCAGCAGCTACAGCTAAATAATTATGCCTTCTAAATACCTTTGCTTGGTAGATGCAAGTTGGAAAGTAAAAACAAGTAGTTTATTTCTAAGAATTTTTAAAACGTACCATTCTACACTTTAAAAAGTTAATAAACCGCTCGTACAGGTGGTTGTGAGTTTTCTTTAGCAAAGCTTGGTTGTTATAAGACATATTTTGAAGTAGTAAAGGCAGAGTACGTGAACGTGTGTCTAGAGAACACTTTGAGTAGAACTAGAACTGGAAAAAGACTGGGGCTTTTCTTCTCCTTTTTTCGGTACACACAAGAAGCTCAAACCCACTGCTGTTATGTGGGGAAGGTGTTCATTAAGCATAAAAAGGCCAGAATTAATTATGTTTTGCAGCCATGCAGTGCAGGGATTTATGTGTGTCATTAAATGATAGTCTTCTCCTTTTGAAGAGCTACAGAGATAGAGAAAGGTCTGGGTGTCGTGGAGCTGCAGTGGCTGATGACTCATTGTTGCAGATAACATTCTATTTTTTTAAGTGCTAAGAAAATAAGAGAAAATCTACTTGTTATTTGTGTGAAATTAACATCCAGAAGCTCTAAAAAAATGTACCAGGCTTCATTTTGGGGTGGTGGAAAGGGAGTGAGGACAAAGAAATGGCATTTATTTATTGTATGATCTATTTATTAGCAAATAACTACCACTAGAAAAATGACCCTCACCTTCCTACTTGCAAATGACGACATATGACTTTTCTGTATCTTCAGTTGTTAATATCTTGGCCTTTAAAAACTTACTGTTTAGCCAAAAGTGATGTATTGAAATTAGGAGTAGGAGACAAGAAAGACAGTACTCATTTATACAATATGTCTCTTCTTATTGAAAAGTAATTTTGTCCTTATATTTATTTAAACGGAGTTTTTATTGTCAATTGTTAGTGACTGATGAGTCAATTCTGAGTTTATACCATTCCTTTCTAAAAAAGTAAAATAGTCATTTGAAGGAATTCATCATTGTTACTTTTTTCTTTTCATTATTTAATTATATTAACGTTTAAATTATTAAATAGTCATGACAGTACATACCTGTGCTAGGGTCACAGCAAGCAGAGTTTACCAAGGAATTATTTAAAAATGCAGAAGTATTCCCTTTTTGTAAGATATATTTATTTGTAATTGTAATCTTAAATTACCAAAGTAACTCTCTAGAAAAGAACACACATTGGAAATGATTACTTTTTATTTTGTACTATCTTTCACTTGTGCTTCATGCAGTATTCAGTGGGCATCTGCTGGTGGCTTCTCAGTTTTTCATTCCTCTTTGAACCTTCTCTGAAATCATGTCTACCCTGTCCCCAAAGGTAATATATAGACTGGGATTACAAATCACTGCATCTTGCTTTCCATGGTAATTTTTTCAGCAGTATATAGTCAAGACCGAAACAAAACTACTTCTTCAAAGTGATTTCTGACTCATTGCGACTCTCCACTGAGTTTCCAAGGCTGTAAATCTTAATAGGAGTATACTCCTTTATCTTTCTCTCACAGAACAGCTAGGGGATTTGAAATACCAGTTTTTCTGTTAGCAGCCCAACATGTAACACACTGCCAGCAGGGCTTCTTATGGCTAAAACCAGGGTTTTTTCCTTGTTTTATATGAGCAAGGAGGCATTTAGTCTGAGAATCTGTAAAACTAACTGAAACAGGCATGGTTGGACTATAGCTGATATGATAGAAGGCTATGCAGATAGAAGTTATGGCATCAGGATTATAGGAAGACTCATCAATAACATACATTATGCAGATGACACAACTTTGCTTGCTGAAATGAAGAGGACTTGAAACTCTTGCTGCAGAAGATCAAAGAATACAGCCTTCAAATGAATTGCCTCTCAACGTCAAGAAAACAGAAATTCTCACCACTAGACTAATAGGCAACATCACGATATGTGAAAAGCAGATTGAGACTGTCAATGACTTCATCTTACTTGGGATCCACAATCAACACCTTTGATGCCACCAGTCAAGAGATCAGGAGATGTATTACACTGGGAATCTGCAGTCAGAAACCTCTGCAAACTCTTGAGGAGCAAGGATATTAGTTTGAGGACTAAGGTGCACTAGATTTAGGCCATGGTCTTTTCAGGCATTTACTATGCTTCTGAGAGCCAGACAGTGAATAAAGATGAAAGAAGTAGAATTGATGCTTTTGAACTGTGGTGTTGGAGAAGAATATTGAATGTCACATGGACAACGAAAAAACAGATAGGTCTTGGAAAAAGTGCAGACAGAGTGCTCCTTGGAAGTTTGGTGCTTCCTCAAACACACAGAGATTCCATATGGAAAAGCTGTTCTCCTGCTTGGAATGTACGCTGAGAGAATGAGAAGTCAGACACAGAGACTTGTACACCAGTGTTCATAGCAGCGTTACTCACCATTGGAAAAACATGGTAACAGCCCAAATGTCCAACCACAATCAGATAGATTGAGAAATTATGGTTCATTCACATGATGAAATACTATGAAGAATGCGGGAGCAGTATTTTTTAAACTATTACCTAACATGGGAGGGACTGGAAAGCATTATGCTGAGTGAAATAACTCAATCCTATAAAGATTGTTGTTGTTGTTATGTGCCATCGAGTCACTTGCGACTCATAGCGACCCTATGTACAAGAGCTCTAAATGCTGTTCTATCCTGTGCCAACCTAGCCATCTCAAACACACTTGTTCCCACCGGTCCAGTCACAGAATCGATCCATCTCACCAAAGGTCTTCCTCTCCTTCGCTTCCCCTCCACTCTGCCAAACATGATGTCCCTTTCCAAGGACCAGTCCCTCCTTGCAACATGCCCAAAATATGTCAGAGAAAGCTTCAGAATCCTTGACTCCAGGGAACACTCTGGCTTCACCCTCTCCAGGACAAACCTGTTTGTTCTCCTAGCAGTCCATGGTATATTCAACACTCTTCTCCAGCAACCACAGCTCAAAGGCATCAATCCTCTTTCTATCAGCCCTATTCACTGTCCAACTCTCTGATGCATAGCACTTAACTGCGAAGACTATAGCCTGGATCAGGCACACCTTCGTCTCCAGCCTGACATCGTTGCTCTTCAGTACTCTTGAGAGGTCACTCACAGCCGATATAACACCATTATTGTAGAACGAGTATGTGGATCCTAAGGGGGTGCGTTAATCATAAGATTGCACACTTTGATGGATGGAGCGGGTGGTGGTGAAGGAGCTAGGAAAGATCCGGTGTGAAAAACAGTGTATACACATTTTATCAATAACCAGTATAAATTTTTTAAAATAATACAGAAACAATTAAAAAAGGAAAAAAAGGACAACAAAGCTTCATAGGAGAGACTATTACATGGAAAGGGACATCATGCTTGGAGAGGTGGAGTGATGGAGAAAGATGGATTAAAGCTGCTGCAATGAGGTCAAATATATCAGAAACCATGAGGATGGCAAAGGATAGGTCTGAGTTCATATCTGTTCATATGGTCACTGTGAGTCATACTCAACAGCACGTATCAACGACATCATGGAAGATAATGCAGACTGAAAGAATGTGGGGTTTTTTGGGTGGAAACTTACGCATTTCAAGTTATATGAGCCTTTCCTGTTGTAAGCAGATTGAATTGCCTTTGTTTCTTGGAACTGAAACTACTGAACGGTAAATGATTCAGTTGTCCTGCCTGCTTAGCTTAGAACTGATTGGTGAATATTTCTTCTACTTCCCAACATCCTTCCATACTAACCACATGCTATGAGTGTTGATAGATTTGATCTGACTGACATACAGGTAACCTTCATGAAGCATGATAGTTATACTTCTTATCGTATATTCATGTACAGAACCCCCCAAAGCCTACCTTTCCTCCTAAACTTAGTGAGACACAGAGCTGTGATAATAACAGCAATTCTGTTTGAGAAAGTATTATTTTCCTAAAATACAGTTGAGTCCTTGACATAGATTCTTAAGGAGGAAAAAACCAAGGAAAGAAAAGTGTAGGAAAAATACTGGAGGAAAGAACATAATAAGGAAGAAAAAGAGTTAATCAGAAAATAATTTTTAAAACTAGGAATGTGCAAGATTATATGTCAAGAGAGAGCATTCAGTATTAACTAGACTACGAAGACAGGAAAAGAAAAAGAAAAATTTATGAAAAGAGCAGTAAGGAAAAGGAAGAGAATTGCAAAGTAGAATGTATTCTTTTAAAATGGCAGGGGACACAATCACCCCCGCACCTCCCCAAACCCCACCCCCTGCCCCCAAATATATATTTTCTTTTACTTTTCAAGGAGAGGCGCAAACGGGGGGGGGTTTGTGCGGGGAGAAGGGTGCAACAATGAATGAATGGAATTCCAAAATCTCTGTAGATGTTTATTGAAATGAAAAATAAACAACCTAAATTATAAAAAAAAATGGCAGGGGATCAAGAATAACAGTAAAATTTTAAGAAGAAATTGATACATAAGAATTTCAATTGTTCATTGAGGCAATTAAAGAAACATTAATTCAAGAGTTTTTTTTAAAAATGAAGTACTTTGTAAATGTCAGCTGTCTTAAAGACAGATATATCAATAAATGTGATGTAAATAATTTTCTTGAGAAACTAAGATTCTTGGACAGGGCTGAACAGAGAGGAACATGTAGACATAATTTCAGAAGTGGGGAGAGCCTTAGACATATT